TATTCAATTTCTAAAAATCATGTAATGACAATCATTAGCTTCTTGACTATTATCCTTTCCAGGCTCCTTACACAGATCCCCAAACTAAACTTCACTACGCCAATGCTGAAGAGTTCCGCATAATAAGGTCATTGCCAAGTGACATAGTAGCAGGTTATCTAGCTCTGCGAGGTTGCAACAAGTATTGTGGGATAAGTTTGTATTTGATAAAGCAAACAAAACGTTTATATCATTAATAATCTAACATCCATTTACTTATGTACAATTAATTTTGCAAAATAATATATTCTAGTTTAAAATAATAATGTGGTTTTTTCACAGAAATTCCATAATCTTGTAGAGCCGGTGCCAAATCCTCCATGGTTAATGTGTACTTTTTATCCTTGTTTAATTTCGGATTCTGAGGAGTTAAAATAGTAACATTAAATACTGGGAAATAATTAGTAACTAAATAATCATTTTTTTGCAATACATACCTTTGAATTGCTTACGTTAGCAGGGGTATTATTGAGCGCGTTTGACAATGTTGAAGGGCGTCATTGGCTACATCTGATATAAACTTTTGAGCAGCAAAGATATCAATCTGATACTGCAACATAATTTTATTTATAATACTATTTATAAATGTTTTCACATAACAATTACATTCTAGGATCTGTCGATTCACATCCCGCACTTCTTAAATAATTGGTTGTTAAAGAATCTGGAATCTAAGGAGCAAGAACATAAATGATTTGTTTCATTTTATTAGTAAATATTTTTTACTACCGTAGGAATATAGTCTTCAAGTTGAAGCAAAAAATCGCTGAGTGTTGTCCAGAAATTTGTCCATCTGCTACGTCAGGCATTGTACTTGGAGAATTTGTTCGACTTTGATTGTTTCTTGCCGCAAAATTTCTCCCATATGTCAAAATATGGAAAGTATTTAATTTATTGTCTTACATGCAAGTAAAGTTTACAAACATCAAAATGGACTGAGAGGTTTGTTTGAAGGTTGCAAGATGTCAAATTCAAAGGGCAAAGTGTTGCCAGAGGAAAAAAGATAAACGTGGATGTCAGATGTATTTTGAATTTTAGCGGCAAGGTAAAATAAGAATTATTTCAAAATTAACTTTTATCAGTGAAGTGCTTTTTTAAATTCAAAATGTTAAAATTTAGCGTATATTCTAGTGAAATTATTTAGAAATAAGCATGATGTAGATGATGGATGATGTGGATGAGATATATTTTGAATTTTTATCCTCAAGGTAAGATTATAAAAATTATTTCTCTAATTATTTAAAAACATATCATTTAATATTTCTTGCATGTAGAACAATACTCTGAACTATCAAATATTGAAGGCATTTATTAACTTATTTACAAAAACTATACTGGATAATAAAATTAGTCTTCATTAGGCAGTTCTTCCATGAACGATATTTTCACTGAATTCTGTTCATCTAAAAACTTCAGTTCCTCTGCTGTTAAATTATCTTGCAGTTGTTGTAGTGCAAGCAATATTTCAGCCTAAATAAAACAATCTTGTATAATTATAATTATATTGAATTTAAATCATAATTTAAATCCTATCCTATTATTTAAAAATGCATAAAAGTATTAATGGTAATGGTAATTTGTTACTATTATTACCTTTTCCCTATTTTTCTGTTCATTTGAAATCTTATTCAATCTAAATTTCTCTTCCACCTGCTCTAGCCTTTCTCTTAATTGTTGTGGTTGTCGTTTGCCAAACATTCTAATTACTTCAGGTGTTTTAAATGCTTCGGATATTGCTGCACATAAAGCCTAAAATAGTAAAGTTTAGATAAAATTGTTTAGTTTAGCATAGTTATACGATTTATGTGAAGGGGAACAAACCAATCGCATTGCTGAAAAGGTGCTGATTAGACTTAAATTGCCACTTGATAGTCGCTCAAGACTTTCATTCAATTCTCGCATTTGTTCCATTGTATCTTGTTTTGTTTCTAAGTACTCGCTGTTATCCATTTCTTCTCTTATGAAAAATAATGGATAAAAATATTATAGATGTAATTGTCATAAATAACAATTTAGAATGGGGGAGATAAGAGCACAATGAGGTAGTCTTATTTATATTATTTTATTTAAGCTTGATTACAATCGTAATGGATAATGAGCATTTTTGTCACAGTCTATTGCAGTAATCAGTTCAAATATGCTTTGTGTCTTCAAAAGTTCATTTTGAGCGTAGATAATAAAGACTTATTGTTATTTGTAAATATTTCTTATGCCAGTACTAGTAATTTTGATGAATTCATTGCAATAGTCAGGATTTTGATGGAATGGTGATCATTTTTTTCTTTGGACGAAATGATATACTTATCTAATAGATAAAATACAAAAGTATTTGCAAAACAGTGCAGGGGAGTTCATTCGAGGCCTAGAGAGAAAAATAGAAGCATATCAAAGGCTTTTAATTTTAACTCTAACTTCATCTAAAAACAAACCACGAGTAAAGAGTAGAGACTTGCAACTGGCATTGACGATTTATTTGTGAATTGACTTCTTAGCACCTCAGTATGTCCGTAGTATGTGGACAAAATAGCTTTTGTAATTTGTTGCAATTTTTCTTAATAAATATGTTAATAAAAGACTGTGGTGGTGGTACTCAAAGGACCTAAGAGTAAAAACGATTGAGACTGATTAAATTGATAAATATCATTAAAAAATCAAACCACCAAGTCATTTTGTCTAGAGTACAGTGTGCCCCCTATAAAAACATAATCTAGTTACAGAAAGCCTAAAAATATATCTTCATAAGTGAGGTTATGTGAACATATAGCCTCAAAAAAAGTATTTAGAGATTGTTTTACCATTTTAATAAAAAGTATGTTTTTTCAAAACATACCTACATTCCTCTAAATCCTGCAATTGATTTACTAATCGTTCTAATTGGTTTTCTAAATTTTCAATTAGTTTTTGTGTTTCAGCTTTCCCATGGGACGTCATCATAAATATAAGAATATAAGTAAATTATATAGTTTTTTTTTTTTTTTAGTTTTTTTTTAGTGAATATTAATTATAAAAGTAAAACAAATCAATGTTAATTAGATTTTCCTGTCATAATTCAACAATGAAGTTACGGTTTTCAAGTTAACTATTACAGATTGCCTCTTTACCGATTGTATATGGGCCAAATCGCCTCGTGTTTAGTTCATTCTAACAAAATATTAAACTTAAAAACAATAGTTGTGTATTACGTGAAAGTATGTGCTGTTTTCATACGTTAACAAAAATAAGTACGAAACATATATTTCGTTGAACGATCAGTGAACAGTTTGTTATTTGTTATCATCGTGTTACGTTTTTTTTCTGATTTTGTGGTTATGTTCATACGGCCATTTTACTATCTGTTGGTTACAGTGCGATTGTACCATCATAAACGAACGCAGCCTTCTTGGCCGTTTCGGCTATTGTGAGTGAGAAATCAAATCATTCGTATTAATTCACAAACAATCAAATCCGTTATGAAATGTTGTAAAAAGAATTTCTAATTAATTTCGTACGTTTGAGTGTGTAAATAGTGGACATAATGTATTCTATATCGGGTTAGGGTTGTTAAAATATCGTGTCGTGGAGCAGTGGTTTACGTGTCCGGAACGCCTATGATTCAGGGAGTAAAATGAGTGGAAACGGCAAACAGGTGCCTTCGCCGGCAAATCAGCAGCCGCGATTCAATCCTGGACAGTACACGTTCATGCAGCAGGCCAACATTTCACCAGGTTTGAGTTTCACACCTAATAAATAGTACCACTGTCATATGTTACTTCACTTTACGTAACGCCCCAGAGTAAAAGACTCGGGGGCTACGCTCGGAATCGTGTCTGCGATATGACACGTACAGTACTTACTTGCAAATATTTGGTCTTAGGTTAGGACCAACTGTCAAAATGGTATTGTCATTTTTTGTGCGAATTGAACATTTGACAGGTTATAGTAATAACAAAATGGCAAATTATTGCTTACAATTTTTATCTAATTTTATGAAAAATCTATTAAATTTCTTCTATTAAGTTCCGGGGCATGATTTTGGTTATGAGTAGAGTTCATTAATGCATAGTGGGAGAGCTCGAAAACAACTCACTCAAATAGACAGAGATCCTATTAAATTTACTCAATTTCTCAAAATGTTACTTAATGTTGCTTCACGTAACGTCATGTTAGGTTAGGTGCTCCAGAGTTGTAAAAGACTCTGGGCAAAAAAGACATTTGCTTTTAGGTTAGGATCAACTGTCAAAATAGTATTGTCATTTTTTGTGCGAATTGAAATTTTGACAGGTTAGTAATAACAAAATGGCAAGTTATTGCTTACATTTTTTTATCTAATTTTATGAAAAATCTATTAAATTTCTTCTATTAAGTTCCAGGGCATGATTTTGGTTATGAGTAGAGTTTATTAATGCATAGTGTGAGAGCTCGAAAACAACTTACTCAAATAGACAGAGATCCTATTAAATTTACTCAATTTCTCAAAACGTAACGTCAGGTTAGGTGCTCCAGAATTGTAAAAGACCCTGGGCAAAAAAGACATTTGCTTTTAGGTTAGGATCAACTGTCAAAATAGTATATATTAGTTAATAGTATTATAATTTTTGACAGGTTATAGATTCAGTAGCAAATTACTGCTTACAATTTTCTTATCTATTGTATTAAAATTCTATTAAATTTCTCTGTATTAAAATTCAAGACATTTACTAAGGTTAAGTGCTCCAGAGTGGTTAGAGACTCTGGAGGCCACGTTCAAATTTGTATTTTTGTTTATGACATGTCCAATACATTTTTTACAAATAAGGTTAGAACCAACTGTCAAAATAGTCTTGTCATTTTTTGTTCGAATTAAAATTTTGACAGGTTCTAGATTCAGTAGCAAATTATTGCTTGCAATTTTCTTATATTATTGTATTGAAATTCAAGACATTTACTAAGGTTAGGTGCTCCAGAGTGGCTAGAGGCTCTGGGGGCTACGTTCAAATTTGTGTTTTTGTCTGTGACATGTCTAATACATTAATTACAAATAGGGTTAGAACCAACTGTCAAAATAGTATTAGGGGGAAGTCCCCGAGTGCCGGACACCTAAAGTTATTTATGAATAAATCAAAAAATATTTTACGAAATGTTCATTAAATTATGACTTATGTTAGATAACAAAGTTAGAAATCAAACTAAATTAACAAAAACGCAATCTTTGCTAAACCATAATTAATATTATCAATCAAACTTTGGTAACAAAAAATGTGATTTTACGAAGTGGCACCTAGTACCGGACATTTCAAAATAACTAGCATTGAACACATATGTAGCCACCTCCACACTCGGGAATATGTGCACATTTGTGTTTGACGAATATTCTTAGATATTGCAAAAAAAATCACTAATTATCCACTCTTTTGGCTGGGCCACACCGATGCTCTCAGCTGGAGTTAAAAAAATACGAAAAATGGGGGTATGCAGTGACAGTTAGCACTCATACAGAACAAAATTAAATAATTCGAATAAATTACGTCCATTCTCACAAGAAATATCAATAAGTTTCACTTGTATTTTGAAATAAAAAGATTTAAAGATAGAGTATCCGGCTTTAGGTGCCGTCCGGCGTTACGGGACTTCCCACTATCATTTTTTGCGAATTGAAATTTTGACAGGTTATAGTAATAATAAACCAGCAAAATATTGCTTACAATTTTTATCTTATTCTATTAAAATTTTAAAAAAATAAACATAAAGAGTACATAAAGTTGTTTCGGGACATGATTTTGGATATGAGTGAGAGAGCTCGAAAACAAGTTACTCAAATAAACAGAGACCCTATTCAATTTACTCAAATCGGCTTATTATGTACTTACTGGATAATTTAAGACATTTAGTTAGGTTAGGTGCTCCAAA